TCAAAACTCTAGAAATGACAAAGACATCTAGCTGTCTAGACAGTCATGCAACATTCCTCTGCAACATTGGGGCATCTATCTTCTGCACAGACACATAATATCTGGCAGACTTTTCAATGAAGCAGGAAATTGGAAAGACTGTCCCACCTATATTGGCAAAGTTTGTCAGTCACTTTCCTCTGTGTCCTGAAGAATGTCTGGCAGTTTCTTCTGTGAAACAGGAACCCTGAAGGACCATCCTGCCTTGTTTGGTAAAGTTCTGTAGTCACTTTCCTGTGGGTCCTGCATGACCAGTTTATACAACATATTTTCAATCAGTTCAGGCAAGAGAAGCTTCTTGCCCAAATGGCTAGCCTTGCCACATGGAAAGTGAACTCCATAAGGAGTTTCTTCGATACCCATCATTTCTGAAGTAAATTGGTGCTGCTAGGAATAGATGTGTCTCATTGTCATGAAAAGTCCTAGGTTAACAAAATTTTAAATGCCATATTCTGTAGGCCTTTGAAAGGTTTAAGTCTATCTATCTAAAATATATCTCTATATAATATGGAAAGCATACTTAACATATCTACAATTTTGATTGTTAAAACAATCATGACTAACCACTAACCTATGTTCCAGATTATTCCATATAATTTATAATAATAGCTTTCAAAAATTAGAACTTTACCCTACATTTACAAATGAACTGCATAGTCACAGTACCTCTGTCTGCAAATTCCATGATGTCAAAATAGAAACATACATGCAATATATTGTAACAAAAATACAAACATACATACAATATGTTGTAACAAAAATAATCTTAAAATTTTATCAATATACAAAAATACTTTTAAAAAGTGTAGAAACATATATACAGTGTAACAAAAATAACTTTAAATTTGTGTCAATATTCTATATTCCCCTAAATGATAACAAACATTCATAACCCACCAAATAACCAAAAGCCACCACCGTCCAACTCTTGGGAATGTGGGCATAGTTTTCTCTAAACTACATCCTGCTGGCTATGGGCAGAGGCATCTTTAGGGGGTCTCTGAAAAAATTTTGAGATAATGAAAAAGTCCTGGGAAGACCAGCTGTAACTTTTATTGATAGATACCACCTATCAAGGTTCAGGAGGTCTACCTTGATCAAACCTGATCCATATTATTCCTGAAGGCATTCACAACCTCTTGTATCCTGTGGGCACAAAACTCAAAAACATTTTTGACTTCCATTTGACAAATATGTTTTTTTTTACTTTTTTAAACTTAAGGCATTCCTAAAGTATATAGGTTAGTTTATTTCGTCAGTCTCTGTTTCAATCCCATCTCTCTTAGCAACTGTTGTTTGCTTATTAACAATCAAAAAATTCAAAATCAGCATAATACTATACAGGATCCAGACTCTCTGTGTGTTTCCCATCTTTTGTAGCTTTTTTCTTTTATATTTTCTTTACTCTCTCTCTTTAAAGACTTTATTTTTAAACTATTTCTTTCTTTCTATGACTGTGTATACCCATATTCTTTCTTTCTTAAGCTTACATACATTGCAAAACACACCAGAACTTGTTTATAGTTTTTTTTTTCCATCTGGACCTCTTTTACTGCATATCTTTTAGCCTTTTTTTTCTTTGACCATGTGACCAAACCTTTACATTGTTAACCTATACCTGGCTACTCCACCCACTTCTTGGTGGTGTCAAGCCTAAAACCTCATGGCCCAATTGGAGGTTCATGACTAAGAACTGCATTCAATCTTCTTAGAGTTCTAGAATGCCAATGCTTGCACTGTGGCAGGTATTTTTACTTACTTTTTTGTTCCTACTTAATTTACTAGCTGCTCAAGGGCTCATTGTCTGGCAGAAATGTCCTACAGGAACTCTTAAAGGAGTCATTTTTTTTTAAGCTTTCTTGGGCACTATGGAAATTCTAGAATTACGTTGGTATGCCAAAAAGTTGTTGTTTGTTTTTGCTCTTTTGGGGGGCCCGCCACCCAGCTCCCAAATAAATTACATGGAAGCTTGTTCTTACTTATAAATGATTTGCCTTAGCTTGGCTTGTTTCTTGCCAGCTTTCCTTAAATTGTCCTGTTTACCTTTTGCCCCCGGGCTTTTCCTTCTCTTACTTCTGTAAATCTTACTCTTACTCCGTGGCTTACTGGGTATGTATGGTGGCTATGTGTTGGCTGGTAGGAAATTCTTCAGGGAGGCTGATTGATGTGGCCTCTGAGGAATCCAGAGAAAATGTGTTTCTAGGTATAGGTGGCTGAGAGGATGGGGATGGGCTAGGAGGCTGGATTTTGGGGGTGTCCACAGGTGGGAGGAAAACAGGGTGTTCCACTGGGATCTGCCTAGTATTCTGGGAATGGGGGTAGAAAGTGTTAACTAGAAGGTCTGTTACAGATCTAGGGATTAGACTGGGATTGGATTTGGAAGAATGGAGGAGAGGTAAAGATTTAAGGCTAGCCTGCCAGCTTCCAAGGTCTGAGTTATTTAGAATGCTTTATGTTACTGTTTCTTTAAGCAAGTGTACTATCCCTTTAATTTTCTCTTTTTTTAATTTGATTTGAGAATGTATTTTCTTATTTATCTATTATCTTAAATACTTTCATTTCCTTCATGGAGTTTCAATTTTTTTTTTGTTTAATTAGATTCTAGGGTTCTTCATATATGTGTACAGATTTTGGGACTTCATGTGATACCAAATCTGCAGGTGCTCAAATCCCTTATGTAAAATTGCTTGTCATCTTCTTATAAGCTGACCACTTCTTTTCATAGATTGCAAGGTACTTTTAGAATACTTATTATATAAGATATAGTTATTGCATTGTTTAAGGTATAATAATAGAAATCTGTGCATGTTCAATATACGTATTATGTTTCCTTTCATATTTTTGATTCACAGAAGTAGAACCCCTCAGTGTAGAAAGAGTTTTGTATTTTCTAATAACTTGTAACTGAGATTTTGCATTTCTCTTTAGCCTTAGCAAGTCTGATCTTGATGCATTTGAAAGAAAATTTTAATATGTTCTTTCTATTTTTCAGCTCCAAGAATCTTATAATGTTACTGATATTTCAATCCCTATCAATATTTTTGTCTGTTCACATAGTTTTTTCTTATTGAGTTCAATTATTTCCCTACATTTTTAAGTTGCTACAACATCTGTAGGTCAGTTATTTTGAATTCTTACCAAGAAACCTGGTCATGTCCCCACCTTTCCACCCTTTGGTGATATCATGATTCCTACCAGTTTTAAGGTTATGATCCTACATTAATGTCTACACACCTGAGGAAGCACTCTTTCAATTCTTTATAGACTACCTCTGTGTAAAAATGTCATTAAATGCTATCCCAAGAATCATTACAGAGCTGACTACCTATATTTGGGCCACTTTGCCTGTTTCAGTGTTCTTAGATGCTTCAGCCCCATAAAACTGCAGAGAAGACCTGTGTGATCACTGGCAAGTGCACAATGGGACATGTCTCAAGTTCACAGCCATGGAAATCACCCAATCCCAGAGTTTCTCCTGAAGTCTAAAGCCACTGTACTTTCCTAGTATTGATACAGGCTGTTCACCTTGATGAGTTTGGGTACCTGACTGGTCACTGATTACTCTGGAGACTGTATCAGCATAGGGATATGGGAGGTAGGGTTCTCTCAATGTTAGGATTTATTGTGGCACATCTGATGTTAAAGTCTACAGCAAAGTCTAAAGCTTATGTTTCTCTCTCACCCAGGTTAAAATTCTCTCTGTCCAGTCTAGTCTCACTGGGTTTGAAGACAAAGGGATGTGGGCAATGAACTGTTCTTTCTTTTCTATTCAATGCGTCTTTTTCTTTTTTAATAAATTTGTTTATTTATTTATTTTACATCCTGGCAGCAGTTTCCACTCCCTCCTCTCCTCCCAGTCCTTCCTCCACCCTGCTCTGTTTCCCACCAGGGGATATGGATCCACTCCTCCTCCATTTCTGTTTATGAATGGACAGGTCTTTCATGCATGTCAATAAAACATGGAATATCAAGTTGCAGTAGGACTAAACACCTCCCCACGTATTAAGGCTGGGCAAGGTGACACAGTATGAGGAGAGGGTCCCAAAAGCCAATAAAAGAGTTGGAGACAGTCCCTGTCACCACTCTTAGGAGTCACACATGAGGACAAATCTATACAACTGTCACATACATGCAGAGTGCCTAGGTCAGTCCCATGCAGACTTCCTGGTTGTTGGTTCAGTGCCTGTAAACACCAATGAGCCCAGGTTAGTAGATTCTGTGAGTTTTCTTTTGGAGTCTTTGACCCCTCTGGTTCCAACAGTCCTTTTTCCTTTTCTACATGATTCCCTGTACTCCACTGTGGGTCTTCACATCTGTTTCCATCAGTTGCTGGCTGAAGCCTCTCTGATGACAATTGGGCTAGGCACCAATCTGGTCACAGGAGATGGTCAGTTAAGGCTATGTATCTGCTGTTGCTAGGACTCTTAGCTGGGGTCATCCTTGTAGATTCATGGGAGATTCTCTTGCACCAGGCTTTTACTTGACCCTGAAATGCCACCCCCTTTCCAGTAGTCTTTTTTAGTACTCTCCCACTCCACCCCGCAATCTCATGTTCCCATCCCTACCTGCCCTCAGTCCAATCATGAAATCTCTTCTATCTCCCATTCCCAGGGAGATCCAGTCATCACCCATTAACCCTACAGCCATGTGCCATGATGTCATTCATCTCTTTTATCTAAACTCTGGTGAAGGTGCTTCTATCAATATCTTAAGAGCGATTATTTTCTATCCAAATTAAAAGAGATACTGAACTTAATGCTTTGAGTATCCTCAGAGATATGAAACATTCTTCCTAAAAGGTGCTAGCTTAACTTGAGTTTTTAAGTAGAATTTAAAAAGTTAACCTGAAAACTTGCATCTGTTGTTATTATTTTAAAACATCTTTAAATTTTGCCATTTATTTATTTAAGTGGTTTCTTTTATTTTTGATATTTACAGTATAATTACATCATTTTCCCATTCTCCTTTCTCCCTTAAATCCTCTCATATACTCTTTCTTGATCTTTTTCAAATCCATGTGTATCTATTTGCATGAGTGTATATATGTTCATCACATGCATACAGGAGTCTGCAGAGGAGAGAAGAGAGTATTTCATCTACTATAACAGGAGTTTTATAAAGTTGTAAGGAGATATATAGGTGCTGGGATCCAAGCCCAGGTCTTCTGGAGGAACATCACGTGTTCTTAAGCACTGATCCAACACTCCTTCCCCAAGCTATCCTGTGAGTCTTGATTATTTTTATAACTGGACAGGAGAGTTGTCTCCCATTTCCTTTTATCTTTCTATGCATAAAACACAAACTGGTTGTTTCTATTTTCTTTTCTATATAGAATTTGTTGAGACTAATGTTCTTTACAATAGGTCACTCTGCTAAAGAAAGCAGAATAACCTATTGATGTATCTCCCACTGGAAAGAAATTAACCTCTAGTCTCACAATGCTACTATAAACATAAAACCAAATGTCTTTTCCAATTGGATTAAGACACAGCAGAGTGGTTAAATAGTTCAGAAAGATATATGGCTTCAGATGGAGTACTTCCATAGAAAGATGACATTTTGTGATGCAATAGGAACTAGACAAAAATTTATAAGGAACAATGTCTTTTAATATTAGAAACTAGTCCTTTTTAGGTAACTATGGAAGCAGGAGATATTATCACAAATACATTTTAAGGCACATTCTAACTTTTGTAATATTCCACAAAATAATTCCTTTATTACCATTTACAACTCTTAATACTATAACAGCTCTCTGAGGTTACAAAGAAGAAAATCGACTCAGTCTCTGAAAGCTCTGCAGCATGGAACATGACAACGTGCTTTAAATATGAAGAGTTAAAGTGTGTTAACAATGTCCATTTCATGGCGAGGGACAAAACATATAAGCTCAATGTTAGAACATAAAAAAAAAATCTGTGATATCTGACCTTGCTGTGCCAAGGACTTCAGAGAGAAAGAGACCTAAATATATATATAATCAATGGCTCATATGCCAATTATTCATTTTTCATTCTTAAATGTCTTTCAAAATATTTCATCCTTATGAGATATATGTGGCGACAGTCCCATCATTGCTGTAAATGAAGGTCACACCCATATATGATGGTGTTTTCCCTCCAATAAGGAAAAGAAAAATTGCTTAGAATCTATACTCTTGAAAATTGCCATCCGGGAGCACATCAATAAATCAGAACAAAACAAGAATAATTGGTTCTACAGAAACTGAAGTCCACTCAGTGTTACAAATGATGGACTTTATAAAGTGCTGGATTTTTTAAAATATAGGCTATAGTGACATATTAATCCTTTTGAAATATGATTTGGCTTAGTTCATATATATATATATATATATATATATATATATATATATATATATAGAGAGAGAGAGAGAGAGAGAGAGAGAGAGAGAGAGAGAGAGCACACCACCATTTCTTCAACTAAAGAGAGGTGTGTTTTATAAAAACAAAGCATATATTAAGTCTCCATTTGTAGATTGGTTCTATCAAAGATCTTTATGTAGCCAGTGCGTAAATGTAGACTCATTTACTACCTGTAAAGAAGAAGAAACATTACCAATCAGAAAGCAGTGGGATAATGAAAATCTAATATAATCTTTTCATACATATCCAAGATATGACACTTTCAATTATGCAGCCCAATATCTCAAGCTAAAGAGAGAAGTCTTCTAAGAGTTTCATCATTAATGGGACACATGTTCCCATTCAAGAATGACACAGCAAAAGCTGAATCCTAACTTCAGGAGCTGAGCATAAGAAGACCAGGGAGGGAAGCTAATTAAATCTACTGCCAAACATCACAATATGCTCAAGACTGTCTTCCATGAAGAGGCGCTTATGTCACTGCATTCAAACTGAGATTGCTGTGTTTCCACAATGTATGCGGTAAACCACATTCTCTTTAACACTTTACTATATTCCTTTCTATATAACTATCTCCTTTTGCAATTGTTCACAGATTTCACCAGACACATAATTTTTTGAATGTTCAAAGATGATTATTTCAGCAACCTGCCCCTCATAGTTCTAAGCCTAGCACAGTCAAGTTATTGCCAAGGAAAAGTCTGTTTTTGTGGAAAACGCTTTCTAAAAGGCAATATGTCTTTATAACAGTGGAAAATATTAATAAAACAGACACTTAGTGATGAAGACATTAGGAGCTTTTAATTCTTTTTATCAATTAGCCATATATGAACCTAAACAAACTTATATCCAAGGATCATTAATCATTGATGAAGTTATTCATGTAATTAAGAAAAATAATAACTTGTATTGGCATGCTTTTGTCCTTGAGCAGGGATTTGATCAATTTTAGTTGTCTTTTTAGTCTATTATAGACATGAATACACATAACTTGCTGTCAGGCTAATGGGAAATATTAAAATATTTTAACTTTGGGAGGAGGGTATTTATTTTTCTCATGTTTTTTATTGAAAATAATGTTTTTCATGCAATAGATTTAGCTGTTTTTATTTCATGTGTCTGGGTATCTTGCCAGCAGCCATCCAAGTTTTATGATGATATTTTGTTAAACTCTGTATTTCATCAAAATCTATATATTCCTGGATCTTCATCTTTTTGGCTTGCTCTTATGAATTTCAATCTACTAAAATTTTGTAATTATAATTTTCCTGAACTATTTGTAATTTTCAATAATTGACATAAAATAAAAGAAATGAGTAAGTCTAAATTTGGACAAAAGTTGTATTTCTGCTAATTTTACAATGGTCATGATTTCAGTCATCATTTGTTCCTTAATTTACAAACTTATCCTAAACTGGGATATCTTTTAAGATATTATAGTTGACTAAACATGTCTAGAAATATTTTTGCCTTAATTTATAACCATTTTTTGATACGATGAAAATAGTTAAAGAATACATACTTTGCTAGAGCACTTACTTATTTTCCATTCTTGGATCTGCAAGCACAGTATGAAATCATAAAAGCAACAAACATCACCACTCCTAGCCCAAGCAAGACCATTTCTACCAGGCCAAGAAGCTTTATTTTTCCAGTCACTTGACTTCTGAACATTTCGGCTTTCTCATCGCCAATAGTTCCAGTCTGTAATCAAGTTAACAGTTAACATTATTTGAGTAAATTAGTGAAATAAAATAAGTCTATACCATCCTCTTCTTTAAACATATGCGTAGGTGTCAGCTGCCTCAGAAAGTCAGTAAAATTCACTTTGCATCCAAAAGTAGACATTCTGAACATGCCAATGTACAGTAATGACTCCCTTCCCACTTTGGTCATGCTGTATAGAACTCATCAGTTTACTAGCATTCATTTGATTTTGGAATTCTTTGAAATATTTCATAACTTTCCAAATGCTGCTTCCTGGTTTCAGGGAGAAATTGCAAACGTTGACAGCTGTACTTGCTTTGATGCTTTATGCAATGCATTTTCTGATTCTGTGATTAATCAATTTAGAAGTTTATAGTAAAATAGTTTATCAGTCGATAGGATTGTCAGTCTACTCTAATATGTCCTGTTTAGGAATAATAGGGTTTTTATTACCACTGTTATATTCAAATAGTCTTGAATTCTGTGGTATTACATGTATGCATGTCTCTTTCTTTAATTGTATGATAAGTAAAATATGTAAAGTTATTTGTGTGTCTGAAAAAAACATAAAACTTAACAAATACTTATATGTAATTTTGTTCTTTTTCTAATGGATATACCAAAGTGTAAGATCATATTTATAGGCAATGTAAATACATCCTCAAATATTATAATATACATGTCATTTTAAATAACAAAAGCTTTTACATAAAATTGTTATTAATGAATAATAAAATACTAACCTCATTAAGCCAAAGTATAGGTACAATATAATTTCTCTTCAGATGCTTTAATGCTCTATAATACACATCAAAAATAATTATTGGTATATTTATACAAATATAAAAGACATTTAGAATAAATAAATTTTCTAGAATTCAATTAGTCTTGCAATATTACTCAAATTCTTTGATTTTGTTCTGTTCAGTGAATTAATTTTTTTTCAAGGTTTCTGTAAGTTTTAATACAATACACAGTAGTCATACATATCCATGTGATGTAATTTCAAACTACCCCTATCTATATACTAATGTTAATAGCTTATTTTTATTTTTCTCACTGTAATTTCACTTTAAATGCATGTCTCTGTAAACAGCAAAGCAATTCAAATTAATATACAGGAAAACAATAGCGACACCTAAATATCTCACTCTCTCTTTTCTTAAATAAGCAATGTTAATATATAGCTCTATCTCTTTCTACAATACAATACAAAACTAATTATAAATCTTTGCGGCATCATAATTATTATGAGAATTTTTTGGAGAGGAGTGAAGGAAGGTAGACTCATCTAATATTATGAATGTAACTATACTTTGTTTAAAAAATAAATGACTTTTTAAATCCCTTTCCAATGTTTGCTAAATGATAAGTATAAATACAGAAGTTAAACTTTTTCCTCACTCATTATATCCCGGTTAATGCCAACATTGCCGAAATACAGAATGTTTAGTATAAAATTATTGAGGGTTTTACACATTAGACATTTTATTTCTTGTTCCATGTACTTTTCAGAGGTTCTGATTTTTGTTTAGCTTATCTCATATTACAGATCGGAGACTTGAAAATGCCACTGACACTCACATTGTATCTGGACCCTGTTCGACTGTAACGCCTGCTTCAGTTTTGTCTTCCTAGCGCATGACTCACCATCGGGAGCTACAAACCTAGTGTGCTGTGGCTTCACGCCAGTGTTCTGGACTATATTTTACAAAATGAGTCCTGTCAGACTGTAGTCCTGTCAGCAATGTGACATTTTGTGTAAATGTTTTGTAGTAAAAGGATAGTAAATAGTGATACACATGTACATATATAATGGCAGTCACTGAAAACTTATTTTAGTGGCAAGTTAAAATTCAATAAATGTGCTCTTTAAATATTATATAACAAATCAATTATGTGTTATTTTTGATATCTAATTGTTTGTATGTGTACAGTTTTGTTATCTTACCTGTCCTTCAGTGAATTAATTTTAACACAGATGTTTTTCAGGTTCTCCATTCATATATCTAATGTAGATTTCTAATTATATTATTGGCTTATAGGTACAAATTTTAATCTAGGAAAGTATATGACTGAGAAGTTATTTTAGTAGAAATAATTGGATATAGTGTACATAAGAGGTGCCCCCCAATGACATGCAACTAACAGTAGTTAAAATACCTAAATGCCATTTCAATAAGCACCAGATATGATTCATGTAAAATGTGTCCTAGTCATTTAATAATTGTGTAATTGCATAATGATGAAAAACTATAAGACAGTCTTTGCATTTTCACTAATCTACTCACATACTTATAAGAAAATGCTACTAATTGCATAAAAACAACAATGTTAAGGAGACTCACTCGATTTTTTTGGCTGGCTTGACCAGTATGTTGACCTGCAGTCGTTTTGCAAATTGTAGAGTGAATCCAGTTATCTTAAAAAAAAAAAAGGCAAAGTTAAGTAATTACAAGCTTCTAAAACATTCTTTTTTAATAGTCAGATTTTACCTTTTCTATGACACAAAGAGAGTCCTTTTGAATTTAAAATGGAAGACTTTTTAAGGCTGGGAAATTACAATCTATTAAACTTTGTGCATAAGTACATGTAATCATGTGCATATATACATAATACTTATATATGAATAGAGAGAGAGAAAGAGTGAGTTTTCTTGTCTAGCTAACATTAAAGTCATCTTTAAACTGTGAAATCTACTTAATTTGGTTTCAAAGAAATCAACAACATCAGTAAAAAAGAATATAAAAAGGCAAACTCAGATAGTGACTTTAGTTCCTGAACTGTATGCCCAAATATTTAGTTAGTCCACATATCAGTAAAAAGCAACGTTACAGAATTCTACTGTTTTAGCAGGAATGTGTCTCCTGCATTTTTTAGATGCTGAAAGCTAGTCCCTGAGCATGCATTCCTGGCAAATGTTAGATCACTGAGCTGCAACCATAGTCTCCCTTTTGGTTTCAAAAAGAATATCAAGATAATTTAAATGTTAATAATAGTACTATAGCAACTATTATACATTATTCTTATTATAGATTTTTGTCTGAAACTTACATATAATCATAATATCTTTGATTTCTGATAGCAGTCATTCCTCACAAAAGCAATGCCAGTTAAATGTAATAATGATGATGATGATATGTATAAAATTGTAAGGTAATTGCCCTAACTCTTATCATTAGAATTCCTGAATCCATGGTTCAGTAAAAGCCCTGAAAGATATCACATGCTGAAAACAAAACTGAATTTCATGCCATTTATACATCAGAATAGGAAGAAATAAGTGCTATCCTGATTGGCAGTTTCAGTGATCTTAAGCATATTATCCAGGATTATGATAAAATTATTTGCTTTAATTTTTTGAAGAATATTAACCAAATCAGATCAATAAGATGATGGCTTACAGGCTCCACATCCAGGTATGTCCTATGCTCTTCCTCATTTGGGTTTAAGCCTTCAATAGGTTCTGACACATCAGGACTTGCATGTAGGAAATGTGGAAGGGAGATGTACACAGGCTTTCCTGAAGACACATTTTAAGAGACAAGTGGAAATAGATTACATTTCATATATCATTTCAAATATTCGCTAGAGGATAAAGCTTTCATAGATGAAAATATAGTTGTTCTTGAAATGCTGAGGCAAGAGCTTTACATCTGCTTATTATTGTGCAAAACAACATAAAACTCTGTGACATTTTATTAAGCAGCCAGTTGATGTCTGTTTCTTCACACACTAATTTCTAGAATTCAAATGTTCAACTCTAAACAAATTAGAAAAATATACATATGCGCTTGATACATGTTCTCAAACTTCAATTGGTGCCATGACAGCACTGAAAGTCTCAGTAATTTGTTTTCTTTATTTTCACTGTACTACAGAGAACGTAAATAAGACAAGGATGGCTCTGAGGTCTTTGCTTTTCACTTCGTACTTTAGGGACATAAGCAAAGCTTATTTAATTTTATTCTCCATTTTCTTAGTGCAAAAAACTACAACCATGGAAGATGGTTAGGAAATTCATTGTGTACTGGGAGTTTTTCTGTTCCCCTAACCATCAAAATAACATGGCATAATACCAGTGTGATTTTCCCAACAACTCAATTTTGCAATACTGAAACACAACAGACACCCAAACACAAGAAAAGCATATGAAAGCACCATTCACTGCCACCAAAGGCTACCTTCTGTTACCATTGCTTTCTTTAATTTTAAATGCTCAACAAAAAGAATTATGGGTAAATATTACATTATATGTCATGACACATATTCTTGTCCATCTGTTTTCTTTTTCTTTGGGATTCTTCTGCCTCACTGGCAGCCTTCATCTAAGCTTTCTTGTCACATGAATTTCATGGGTGTCTCTTCCCTACCTTAAGACTTTGTGGTCCTTCCCCGTTACCCAAACACACACACACACACACACACACACACACACACACACACACACACACACACGTACACACATGCACACGCACATGCACACATACAAGAGGGTGAGATTTAACTCTACATTCTGCATATAAGAGAAAATTTGTGATATTTATCTTTCTGAATATGGCTTATTTTTCACAATACAATGTTCTCTAGACTGATCTAATTTTTATATGTTACAATTTAAAGAATAAAACTCCCAAACATTATTAAATAAAAAATGTATGTGAATTTTGATAATGAGCATATCTACACACCTTCTTTGCATTTGCCGATGTCTAGCACACCATATGATGTACAATTATTTGAGATGACCTTTTCAGTGCAGAAACAGTGGTTGTCTGGATTCTGCAGTGGTGATGCAAAGGCCTTGGCTGGAAGAACAAATCTGTACACGGGGATTCCTTTAAGGTCAACATCAGATCCAAACACAGCGTAGATGGACCTACATGGACATTTGAAGAAAGAGCTTCATACTAGGAGCCTGAATCCTATTCTGGAGATCTGATTCTTCTTGTTAACTCTAGTTTATATTCTTGATTTAATGTAGAAAACAGTCAACTTCTTAGGAAACCTATTGATGTTGTTGTTTTTACAATTTACAACATACCATGATTAAAAACATTAGTATGAAATATGAATTCTTTAGTCCTTAAAAACCTTCTAATGTCAAGGTTACGTGTGAACTGTAATGGGGAATAAATGTCAGGGATGCTTCTCATAGTTAAATTCTTCTATGCAATCAATATTTATATGACTTATTCAAATTCTTTATTTGTACTCAATTTAAATGAAATTTCTATCTTTTGAAAAGAGCTTAAAGAAAGAGCTGCTCACCTGGTGGGATGTGTGCATGGAACAGATCTCTACCATTTATCCCATGTCCACCATGCCCAGTTCAGTGTGTCACAGCTCAATTAATATTTTCTCTGACCTTCAGCTAATCCTATGTGAAGAAGCACTGTTCTCAGAAGTTTTATATGGCAATGATTTTCAGGTATCTAAAGATTGCCTATAGTATCATCTTTAGGGATAGGACTGGGGACCAGAAGTAGTTGTGTGGGGTTCAGCACTCATGGGTATAATCTGAAACCCAACAGTTTGAAAAAATTTTGCTGTGTGAATCATTAACATAGCTCTGTAACAAATGTGTCATCTTCTCTAGACATCTTCAGAAAGACCAGGTATTCTCTTTACACTTGATTGCTGTATCATGAAAGTTTATCAGCAGACATGATAAAGAGTACTCAGAAATGACAAAAAAAAATGGCTTGCACTATAAAATGTTGGAATGCATAGGGTACTTTGAAAAAAACAAAAATGTTAATTCCATATCGTCACATTCATTCTTAAGAAATCAAGAGAAATATTTGTCTATTTTTTCAAACAATGTAAATAATTAGGCTTCCCATTCTTTGCTTTAAGACTGGAATGGAAAAAGTCTAATGTTTACATTCCAGAAACTTACCTGCAAATGTCAGAGGAAAAGAACCTCAGTATCCGAGACTTCTCAACAAAAGGTGGGAAAGAGGCTGCATCTGTCAAAGATCAAGCAGTGACAAGTGTTTTTATGTGATGTGAACCCTAGAAAAGTCTAAAAATCTCTCTTTCCAATGTAGTCAGTAGAAATAAAACATGGTTTGCATATATGATTTTAAAGTTACCCGTAGGACATTTACTTTCAGAAATAAAAAGAGGTATATTTTATTTATTAAGTATATGAAAGTTATTGTTTTCAATATATAATCAAATATCTTTCATTGTCAAAGTATACATATACTTATAGCACATTTCAATCACAACAGATGCCCTAGCTGTCTTTACCAATTTGATGTATCCTAGAGTGATCTGAGTGGTAAACCTCCATTGAAGAGTTGTCAAGATCAAAATGGCCCATGGGCATGTCTGTAAGGGAGTGATGTTGTGAATAAGAATGGCCCCATAACTGGGTAGTGGTGGTGTGTTGTTCAGCTTTCTTTGCTCCCATGATGGAATGCCAAACTGTTGATTGTTTTTGCTCTTTTGGGGTCCCACCAAATAAATCACATATGGAGGCTTATTCTTAATTATAAATACCTGGCCTTAGCTTGGCTTGTTCCTTGCCAGCTTTTCTTAACTTTAAATTATTCTGTTTACCTTTTGCCTTTGGGCTTTTTCCTTTTCTTAATTCTGTATATTTTACTTTTACTCTTACTCCGTGACTGGCTGTGTGGCTGTGTGGCTGGTCCGTAGCATCCTTCTCTCCTTGTTCTCTTGCTGTTTCTTCTTTTTTCCCAGATTTCTCCTTCTATTTATTCTCTCTGCCTGCCAACCCCACCTATCCTTTCTCTTGCCTTGCTATTGGCAGTTTAGTTTTTTATTAGACCAATCAGGTGTTTTAGACAGGCACAGTAACACAGCTTCACAGAGTTAAATAAATGCAACATAAAAGACTGCAATACATCTGTGCATCATTAAATAAATATTCCACAGCATAAACAAATGTAGCACATCTTAAAATAATATTCTACAACAGTGGTACACACCTTTAATCCCAGCCCTCACGGGAAGATCTCTCTGAATTAGAGAACAGTCTGGTCTAAAGAGTGAGGTCCAGGACAGGCAAGACTATACAGAGAAACCTTATCTCAAACAAACAAAAACCAAAACCAAACAAATAAAAAAGGCCCCCATATGCTCAAATCTGAATACCTAGTCATCATGGAGTGGTTCTACTTGGGAGGGATTAGGAGGTAGGGCCTTTTTGGAATAGGTGTCACCTTGTAGGAGGAGGTATATCACTAAATGTGGTCTTTCAGGTTTCAAGAACCCAAACCAGGCCTAGTGTCCCACTCTTCTTGTTCCTTGTATTTCAGGATGTAGAATTCTAATTTCTTTAGCATCATGTCTGCCTGTATGCAGTCATCCCCTCCCTGATGACAATGGACTAAACCTCTGAAACTATAAGCAAGCTTCAATTAAATGTTTTTCTTCATAAGAGTTGCCATGGCTATAGTGTTTCATCAAGCAATAGAACAATAACTAAGACAAAAGCTAGTATCAGGGAGTTGGTATTGCTTTGACCATGCTACTTGTTTTATGAATGTAGACTTTGGGACTTTGGCCTAGAAAAGCAGTGGAATGCTTTAAGCAGGGCTTAATGGGCCATATTAGTAGGAGATTAGAAGACAGTGCTGAGGACGATTTGAACGGTGGGGTCTGGTTAAAGAGGGTAGAGACCGTTCTTGTTATATTTGGCAGAGGATATCTTCATTTCTGAGCCCAGGTCTCTTATAGGGACCTGAAGCCTACTGGGTAGGTCAGCCAATGAGCTCCAAGGGACCCAACCATCTCAGCCTTGTCAGCTGTAGAATTACAAGTACACTTCACCATTTCCAATGTTGTTGTTTGTTTATTTTCCCCTGGTTCCTGAGGATCTAACTCAAGTTCTTGTTCTTGGATGTCAAACTGTCTACTAACCAAAGTATCTCCCCATTTCCAGAGTTGCTTTTCTGAAAAGAAACATTCTAAATGTGTATCAGACCTTTCAGTGGATGAGTTTCAAACAGCAGGAAGATGCACTTTCAGATTATGATAGCCACACATTGGCATCTTTGTTTCAGTGGTCACTTTCCCCCCTCCTGGTCCCATAACAAGGGACCCTCTCACAAGGATCTTCCCCTATCGACTCACCTCTATCTCTACTCCTTTTCCTTCTGCCTCTACATTCTCAGCTTCATGCCTGATGTTTTTGTAATTGACACTAAGCAATTCCCAAAGCTCTGTCATCTTTAGTTAAACCAATTCTAGTTTCAAACAGAATTTTTAATTATTTTTCCCTTCTACACAAAGCATTTCTTACTGTTTAGGAATAGCACAGTACATTTCTCTTTGTCTAAGGATTATTAGGCTTATGTAACTACTAAAGTGTTGAAATACTTGAACATTTATTTGGGGAAGTACCCTTGGAAAACATTAACGCCATTGCTCCTGCTTTTCCACCCTATGAGACAGAACAAAATTAAGTAAACCTGCACGACTCAATTATGCCTTTGAAAAGGTAAACAGCTCCTGAGCCTCCTTTTTATTTAACTTTCATTGTCTTCATTATGTCGTTTTCCTATTGAAAAAGTAGTTCCCTCACCTACTTTGTAAACATTATTCATGTACTTCTTAGTAAGTAAAAGCTTATCTTTGACTTAAATTACTTCCTAATATTTGATTAGCATTGTGTTATACAATCATAGTTCTTACATTGATGGACTGTGCACGCACACTGTGCTTTTCTTTAAGGACAATTATAAGCACAACCTAACTATATCCCAAATCAAAGATTTGAGCTGTTTCTAATTTAGAGAACACACTTTAGCACACATTCTTCACTGATAGTAGACATCTAACCTTGTTTTATTTTTCCTTTTCACCCCTTCTGAGCAACTTGTGCGAAATAGGTTGTTTTTGTTCTACAATCTTGCTGCATCCATCTCAGCTCTGCATTTCACTTGGGGATATGTTTTCCTTTTTGAAATTGTACCTCTTCACATGTAAGTTATAAGTCTAATATTGAGGAGAACTGACTAGTAATTACTCCTATTTGTTTTTAAGCTCTTGTTGGATGCCACTCACTGAGTGAGATATTTTTTATAAAGCAGAACTTTTCTAGCAATGCAACAAGGCTGATCTTCTGTGGTTAATTCAAAAAGTCCTGCCACCTTAAGGAGATAGCCCCTTCCTGAACCTACCTGTAAACAAATCCTTCCAATTATGCTGACTGGTTAGCACTGCCCCTCAACCTTCAGAATCCCTTTGGCTGGGAGGGAAGTAGACTTGTGGGAGAAGGTGAGATATTCTCATTGTGGTTATTACAACAAAGATTCTTACCTGTGCCATTAATCATGTCGCAATAACTTGGCCAGTAGGACAAATTCCTAAGGAATAAAAGAAATAAGATGAACAAATACTCTGTTTCAAGAATATTTCCCATAATATTCACATTGTTCTTTCAATTTTGAAACACTGCTTTTATCAACATAATGAAAAATACGCCGGGCGGTGGTGGCGCACGCCTTTAATCCCAGCACTCGGGAGGCAGAGCCAGGCGGATCTCTGTGAGTTCGAGGCCAGCCTGGTCTCCAAAGCGAGTTCCAGGAAAGGCGCAAAGCTACACAGAGAAACCCTGTCTCGAAAAACCAAAAAAAAAAAAAAAAAAAAAAAAAAAGAAAAATACAGGTGATGACAGCTAGAATTTAAGAAATATTCCACATCCTTCAATCCATGATTGTTTAATCCTCTAATCTTATTGCAATAAATGAAGTACTGGAAGCCTTAACAGGACAGATCATAAACCACAAGCCGCTAAGTGCCAAGTTCATTAGTAACCACTCAGATAGACAGAACTCTGGAAGAAAATGTAGTTGTCTACTCAGGAATTGGTTTCCTTGACAGAAATGAATTTTGTGGTAGTTTGTTCAGTGTTCATACTGATAGAATAAAAGTCTTGAAGAAGCTCCTGAGCACACAGAGTTAAATCAATTGCATACTATGATAAACTCATGGGTCAACCATGTTCAAGTCTAACCCACTCAGTGATTGACATTCCCTTTCAATACCACTCTACAATCTAAAACTCCAGAAACATGTGCAGTGCTCAATATGCAAGTTTTGATATGATATCCTCAGAAATAAACACATAGAATTACTTTTCTCCACTAGATTTCTCTATAAAAGCATGTGAATGTGAACAACTTTCATGTTTAGAAGCAAAATTGTACAACAGTGAACATTTACTCATTGTATGTTAGAACTATGTAAGTAGTAGTTATGAAGGTTAAGAAAATCACTTACACTTTTAATTCTGCTACCTCTAGTGTTTTTCAAGAAATATGAAATGAATAGAAAAAAATAAGAAGGCTTTTTTTCCCTCCTGGTACTTATTTGGCTTCTCTATATTTTACAGGTATAAATAATTAGGAATCTCTCAGATGAACTGTGAGGAACTGTGAGAAGAAAAGTATGGCTTCATGAACCTCTTCTGCTGTGGGATGGTCTGTATGTCAAATGTGTTGCTGATTGGTCAATGAATAAATCACTGATTGGCAGTGGCCAGGCAGGAAGTATAGGCGGGACTAACAGAGAGGAAAATTGAGAGAACAGGAAGCTGGAGAGGGAGACACTGCCAGCCGCCATCAGGACAAGGAAGATGTAAAGTACTGGTAAGCCACAAGCCACGTGACAAGGTATAGATTAATAGAAATGGATTAATTTAAGCTGTAAGAACAGTTAGCAAGAAGCCTGCCACGGCCATACAGTTTGAAACCAATATAAGTCTCTGTGTTTATTTGATCGGGTTTAAGCGGCTTGGGACTGGCGGGTGAGAGAGATTTGTCCTGACTGTGGGCCAGGCAGGAAAACTCTAGCAACACTCTTCTGTTCTTTTGCTTTTCCAAAGGTGATAGATACATCGTGCATTGTGTAAATTTATTACTGTCTTTGAAATGCTAATTCCATTTTCCATTAGTAGAAAAAAGATTGGCATGGCAGGGAAATTGTAAAAGTGCTTCGATTCATTAAACATTTTCCTGTTTGGACTCATTCAGAACATATCACTACAATGTACAAATTTTATTTCATATGCTCATTTTAAAAGGCACAGCAAGATCTATTTGCCTACTTCATAGATCATACTGATATTTTAATTTGTTATATCTTAATTGTATGGATTCACTGTAATGTTAGATATGCTAATAAGATAAAAATTAACACTATTTCTTTGACTAAGAGAGGGAATGAATAAAGGCAAACCTTTCATGTGTTTGTGCTGCTGAATGTCAATCAGATTGGTATGAACAAGAAAGTGGCATGAAGAAGGGTTTAATGCCTGGAAAAACAGCCATTGCCAAGGATGCTCTGTAGCCATGTGTGTTTTATAGACTGGTACACGTGCCTTAGCAGTAATAGTAAAATAATACTAATAGTATTGTAGAATAGCCTACTCGTCCCCCCCCCCCCCACATACACACACCAAAACCACAGAGTTACTGACCTTTTTCCTTTATAGGACTCAATTATGGCAACATTGCTTATGTTATCCTTTCCATTGAAAACTTTATAAACTCCATCTACAGTATTATTATACTGAAAAATATAAACAAAAATTACTCAAAGATCAAGCCTTATTCACTGTGTCATAGCATGTGCAACTAACTTTCTTTCACATTTTTCAAATAGGAGCCATTCACAATCATTTTCTATCATTAAATACTTATATGGTAGAATATAAAAGTTGCCTAGAAATAACTGCTAGATGCTGAGATAAAATATAATAAATATAATGAATGTAATTATTTATTATATATATTTACTATATTTATTTATTATAATAAATATAAGAAAATAACTAACAGAGGCTGATGGGTACCAGCTCCAATACTGCTAGGAATTAACCAGAGGCAATGTTCTTCACTGTTCCTATTTAGATCAGGTGAGGACACACTGATCTAAACTTACGAGAATGACAACAGATTTCCAAAGGTATTCTAAATTTTTAAATTCTTAATAGAAGTTACTAAAATGAAAAAGATTATACAAACAAAATTAAAAATTCTGTTAGCCAAAGAAAGAGTTGTGATAATTTGGTTCAAATAATAATTGACTCTAATTCCTTCAGGCTTCCCAATTAATATTTAACTAATGTATAACTGTATAATCTGAAACACTAGCAATAAGGAACTGGAAAGCATAGGTAATATTCCTATACAGTGTCCAATGATATAACAGTCAAAGCAGAGATTTGGTTTGGCCACCTCATTTCATTTGTAACTCAGAACTTAGAGCTGTAACCACATAGAGCAGGAAATCTACACCTTCGTAATCATCGAACCACCATTCTGTGAAATCGAGTTGTAAGCCTCAGTAAGTGAAGCTTGCTGAATATCTCAAGAAGAAATTCACAGCAGCTTTTTAATTGATACTTTAAAATTTAAAGGCCTAGGAGATGAGGAAGGAGATGATCAATATGTTTGATTTTTTATACAAAAATATAATATTAACCTTGATTCATTAGAACAAAAAATCAAAATTAAATACAGTGTGAAAAGATTTACAGATTTACAAATGAATTTTCAATTGTCTATAAGAACCAAAATTTGATTAGCTTTTAAATTAAGATGAGTTTAGTCAAACTCATTAATTTTTTCACTAATATGTAAGATTCAGACTTTAAAAATAATGAATTATATATCCTCAGATTAACTAATGAGGCTAATATGGAAAACTATAAATTTTTTCCCAATGACATTTTATTTACATAATTAAAATACAGCAGTGTAGTCATTTATATTTGGTACTTACAGGATAAAACACACCAACTGTGGTAGAAATAGGATATGGGACCAAACTCAAGAATGGATCCTTGTAACCCCATAACAATTCTTTCAAAGTTCTTCTTTGGAACATAGAAGACTTGGACTTTTTGATAAGTGAATTGAGCACAGATTGAACAAATGAGTTTGTGTATATATGTGGTGCAGCCTACAAAAAAACAAAAACAAAACAAAACACCACTATCTGAGAAATCAATATATCCCATTTCTTAAATTGGATTAAAGAGAAAAATTGAATTTAATTAAAATCAAACTAAACCTTCAAAATCTGCCAAATTCTGTCTAGACTAAAATTACAGTTTGTGTCATTTTTTCCTAATCCCTTCACAATTACATTTTCTAGCCACAAGCATTTCTAGCCACAAGAAGACATTTGAGTTGAAGAGCTATTTTTAAACAATACTTAAGTCAAATGATTATCATTATTGTGCCATGTTTCTAGATGACAAAATAACATAAATACATGTTTTTTTTTATAGTGGTAAAAATAACTAAAGCCAAATGGTGAGGGCAATTATGAGATTAATTGGGACAGGCTCTGAACTGTTCCACACAGTAGCTGTTATCCACTCACTGCCACAGCCAGATTGAGAACAGTGAAGGTGTCATTCTCAGTTCCAACAGACAGTGAAGGCTCAAAGATTGCTCCATTGGGCTGTACAAAAGAGACGGTGTGGTCCTCAGGGTCCTGAGTTACATTCTCCTTGGCTAGATAACGAACTCTAAAACAAAGAGAAGCCAACAAAATGAGGGAAAAGATAATGTCTTGTGTAACCACTAGATATCAAATGTCTCCATTCATCCAACAAATACTATTTTAACTCTGAACAAGTTAGTTTACACTAACTCACAGAATTACTGCTACAGCTCTGGCAGCCTAATCAGAAAGGGTCTTAAGCCTGGGAAGAAGAAGGCAGACTAGGACTAAATGAGATAATTAGATGCAGGGCTTGGGCGTCCAAGTGGAATGGGTTGAAGACTCACTTCCCTAGCAATTCCATGTGATGGTCCAAGTAAAAGACAAAAAGTAGCAAGTATAAAATACTAAAGAAGATTATGATGATGTGGTTTGAGAAATACAAGTGTTTGAGTGTTTAATTATGGAGTGATAGGAAAACAGTTGGTGGGAATAAAAGGCACAAAGAGAGATTTTAAACACAAAAGGGCTATATAATTAAAAATGGTCTTTTATCTTGAAGGTAAGGAGGATCAGAGAGTATATTTTTCATAGTAGAAAGACCTCTACAAGTGTGTAGTCTAGTCAGCATCTCTGCTGTAAGTTTGCTAATGAAACCAACACTAAGCAACAGAGACTCATTTCCCATTTAAAGGGGTCCAGAGCTAACTCCATTCCTTCATTTTGTCTGAGTTCTTACTTCTAATCTAATCTCTTGGCTCAACACTTGCAATACTTTTCACGACTGTGTTAAAAGATGATCGTTTTGTAGAAAAACAGCTTGTTTGTACAAATTATCCGTTGAAATGAAATGAGGTATGCCGGGCGGTGGTGGCACACGCCTTTAATCCCAGCACTCGGGAGGCAGAGGCAGGCGGATCTCTGTGAGTTCGAGGCCAGCCTGGGCTACAGAGTGAGTTCCAGGAAAGGCACAAAGCTACACAGAGAAACCCTGTCTTGAAAAACAAACAAACAAACAAACAAAAAAAAAAAAAAAGGAAAGGGGGTAGATATCACTCAGTACACTCTTCTATACCTGGATGTCAACTATATGAGATGAATAACTAATGTATAGACTGAAAAAAGCATGGGCCTACAAGTTTGATATGAAATGTGAACTCCTGTGGAATACAGATTATGAGGTCCCCATACACATGATGAGTTTTGGGTATTTTCAGTATTTTCTTATTTCTTGGCATGTTTTAGCTCAGACTGGGCTTGAACTATACAGGCCAGGTTGGTCACAAATTTGCTATGTGCCAACTGCCCAAATGCTCTAATTACGAATGTAGAGCATCACACCTGAATCTCACTTCTCCACTAATAAACTAGTTAGTGGCTATATCACTTCAAAACATGTTTTAGATAAAAATAGGAACGCTATTTTAATAGATGCTGCACAAAGCTTTATTATTTCTTCTTTATTGAGTGAGATAAATAAGCAACCTGAAAAAATCTGAAATAACCCAAAGCACTAAATTCCTATTAATGCCTTTCTCATAAAATAACTGTTTTTAAATTAAGGTACCTATTAATAACGAGTCAAGTAGGGTTACAGCATTTTCAGAAACTTTGATGCAGTTAGGACTAAGTGAAATAAAATCTAAATTATTTGGATCCATTTTTCCCTTAAATGGCACTTACAACCTCAAACCAGTAGATGGCACCCAGTAAGAGAAAAATCAGTAAAATGTGGTCTCCTTAGGAAAGTTCTTTTGAAAGAACATAATCACTCACCTTTTAAAATAAAAAAAGGAAGCCTTGTGATGTATCGATTAATAAGACCAAGGGAAGTAAGTTATCACAGATGTATACTTGATGCCTTCATTAGTATTCTTGCCAAAGCTAAGATAAATTTTATAATTTAAAATATCCAAAGGGACTATAGTAATCAGAGTCACTGTAGGTTGGGATATAACTATGATCTTAAAGCAGGAAATTTTATGCTTTGACCGTGTATCATATTGCCCATCAATGCTTCATCAACATCATTCTAGCAGCTGTAGGCCAATCAACCAGCAGTTCTGTTTCAGGAGGCATACTTTTCTACAGCTTCGATTTAAAATAGAGTCAGAGCATCGTCATGGCTAGGCATGCTTTCACCTAACATACAGAAAACCTTCAAAGTAGTATCACTTTTTAAAGGGAGTAGATTGTCCTCCATTTATTTCTGGCTTCCAGGCAAGCTAAAGAAATTCTAGTTTGGTGATGCCACAAGGCAAGATGACTGACACTTCAGCAAGGGCAGCTGGAATTGCCATACAAAGGAGAGCTAGCTGTCTGTAAAGTGTACCTGGAAACCCTACTTCTTCCCATCTTTCTCCGTTGCTTTGACAAGCAAAAAAGATGCATCTAATTTATCCCCTTTTAGTTCTACATGGAGATATGTTATAGGTTGTAGGAATGAATCATATATATATATATGCTTCATAGGAGAATATAACTAGGCTTAATTGCTATGTTTACATTTCCACAAAATCCTTAAAGGTGAAAATCATTATTGCTAAACAAATAAAAAATAAAACAAAACCCCAAAAGCAGAGAAATATTATCCCTAAACAACAACAACAGCAAAAGATGTGAAAGGGTCTTAAATTGTAATAGCTATTCCTTTCTTTTCATACTTGGTCATTTTATTCATGCTATACTTTTAGGCATGTATTTTAGACTTTATTTCTTATGTCTTATAATGGATACAATTTCATAGATACAGACTATACTATCATATTTCTTAGAAATAAGATATTCACAAAATACTTTGATAATAAGTACTATAATATCATGAAAAAGTATTTTTCTTGCAGTTATAAAAACAGTCTTCTTTGGCAAAATTGTGAATCATTAGCATAATTTTCACTAAAGAGAAGACTATTAAAATATGATAAACCGCCGGGCAGTGGTGGCGCACGTCTTTAATCCCAGCACTCGGGAGGCAGAGCCAGGCAGATCTCTGTGAGTTCGAGGCCAGCCTGGGCTACCAGGTGAGTTCCAGGAAAGGCACAAAGCTACACAGAGAAACCCTGTCTCGAAAAAAAATATATGATAAACCATAAATTGTTTATTGACATAGCAGGTATGACCTTTACAGCAGCTATTGCTATTTCTTCATAATTTGGAGTGTCAAATGTTAGTCCAGTGCTTTATAGAGGATAAAAAAGTGAACAATCATATAATGTTCAAAATGCTTCAGAACTACAACTGTGGATTATGAAGATAATTAGGAATATATTAATCTGTGATATAAATTAATCACGTTGCATAAGTAGTTGTATTTCATCTTGAGAGAAAATCATATAGGTGCATAAAGAATGATACAAAAGACTTGACTCTGTTTTCATCAGAAAATAAAGTTCTTGTCTGGTCTACAGAGCGAGATCCAGGACAGGCACCAAAACTACACAGAGAAACCCTGTCTTGAAAAAAACAAAAATAAAAATAAAAAATAAAAAAAATAAAGTTCTTCCTAATTCACCGTTTGTTTTCAGTACCTTTGACTGCTGTGAGAGTTGAAAAGAAGACGATCTACAATTTAAATAGAAGTGTTTGCAGAAATATGACTACCAGACCCTATCACTGTGTGAATGTGGACGAGTGTCTTCCTATTTGATGGTCTATTTTTGTTTTTGCTTTCTTCTTCTTCATACAATGAAAGGTTCTGATTATTTCTCTTAGATGCATTCATTTAAGATTCTATTCCTAACTGTATTAAATAAACTATTGGAGCACTTAAAAGTATAGCATAATGAGAAAATATGTTTAAATTTCTATGTAAATCTCAACACCTAGATGACCTCAGAACTTTAACAGGAACTGCCATTACAAAAAAATCATTTTAGCTTTGTGGTTCTCAAAATGGACTATGTATCTGAATCACACAGAGGAGTTTAAAATATACAGGTAGAGTCTTTGGCCCACTTGGCATAGAGGTTGTAGGTTTTTTTTACTATTCTTCCTGGCCCAGAAGCCACACACTGATAATCACAGATATAAGATTTCTGTTTCATTTTAAGATGTTAATCATGTATACTTAAAACTCTCAGCATACCCACTGTGGAGTTAGGGACATGACAGAAGTTGTTGAGTAGGGGAGTTATTTGTTAGCTTTATATTGATAATACATTCTATACTTCTTTTCTACACAGTATGTGATAACATTTGAAAATCATGTATGTATAACAATATGAAGAGTTATTAAATCTATAGATTAAGATTCTCTGCAGGTACGGAAAAATGTAAATTGATGGCAAGAAAATCAGTGCATTTCAATACAATGGAACTCTTTGGAAGAAAACTTCTTGGAAATGAGGTGAGACACTACTCATTCTCAAGAACTCGCTCACCTGTATGTGTAAGGGCCTCTCTGTTTAACTTTGATTTTGCTGCTGTTCAGTGCCACTTCATCTGGGTTTTGCACATCAAAGATCCAAAACTGTCTGTACACATTGGTGCCTGTTTTAACCCAGTTTTTGAAAGCAATTGTTCCTTCTTCAAGGACAACTTCCTGTGGAGAATAAAACAAGTTTGGATTGTTTCTTTACAATGAACATGGACACTTCCAAGACCTTGTTAGATTTAGAAGACTAAAGGGAACAACTTGTGGGAACTGGCGTAACTTTGTCACACACTTGAAGCAGGAGTGTTGTCCCCCCCCCCATACAGCACCCTCTCGTGGGTGGTTAGTTTGTGAAGAGAGCCAGTGCTGAATGCTGAAGCCATCCTTGCTGCTTTTTAAAGGAAGCTTTGAAGTAAACCTGTGGCAACAGTCCCTTAGGCAACAAAACAGTGAGTTAAGCTAGCTCTAAAAGTTATCACACAAAAGATGTTGTTGCCAGGTGTAATCTCTTCCTTCTGAGAAGCTGTGTTGGTTAGGCAAAAGAAAAAAGTGGAGAGAAAACTTGAGTACTATTGGGAACTTTGAACAGCAGCAACAACAGAAACTTTTTCTTCCAAAGCTAGGCAATTCAAGGGATTATGACTAATCTTTAGTAAATGAAGGCCACACATGCTTATGGATAAATTACATAAGTATGAATTTTCCTCTTGGAATCCCATTCAACATGACCTCTGTAAATCATAGTATGTTTTCAAGAATATCTGACTCTATGTTTCCAAAAATTACAACTGCTTAATTTGTCATTGGAGAACTAATTTAAACAAAATAGCAAAATTAAGAAGGAGTATGATGTATGTGTATATGTGTGTGTGTGTGTGTGTGTGTGTGTGTGTGTGTGTGTGTGTGTGTGTGTGTGTCTGTCTGTCTGTCTGTCTGTCTGTGTCTGTGTGTGGCATTATACACATTAGAAATCATGTATACCAGTTGCATTGAAAAAACACAAGAAGAAAGAATACAGCAACAGAACTGAGACACCCCTTAGGAACTGCCTCCTGTTTAGGAGCTTTGGGACCAAGTGGAAAGCCACAAAACCCCTTAGGGTCCATTTCATTGTCTGCAAGGTAAGAGAGTTACCATAGATGCTTGGCCGCTGCTTTCCAGGGCTTTCACTCTCTGAACAGGAAGTCTGTGAAGTCATAGTAACTAGTGCAAACAAAAAGAGGTTGTTGTAGCTAGCTGGTAGAACTTCCAATTAAGTGATTTGGGAAGAACGCCCAGGTACAAGAGTGTTTAAGGGGAAGAGGAAGAAACATTTTTCGCAGAAATTTAGCCTAATGGAGTCAATGAGCACAGGAACAACATAACCCACTTTTCTCTTCCTCACCTGGAAATATCAATTCACTGAATGACAGGCTCAGGAAAGGGTAGGAAGCAGGAGCACTTTTTGAGGTCGAGCACACGGTCTCTAAGAAAGCAGGTGTCTGTTGCAAGTGCAGCCCAGACAAATAGTATCAGAGTGGTTGAGGCAATCTGCGTCAGTGACCCTTACACCAGTCCTCTGTTGCTTCACACTGCTGCTGAATTTCCCCGTCTCACACACACCCTGGTCAGCTTCTCATAAAGTTTCATGTCTTTGGGAACTAGATTGCCTAATGCAGAGGATAATGGAAGTCCTTAGAGAAGAGGAGGCAGAAGGCTAGGGTGTGTTTGAAAATTCTGTAGTGGTGTAACCCATGTACACGGGAACAAGAGCTGCTCATATGTTGTTCAGATTTCTATTGCTTTTTAAAGTATCCTTAAAAAAAGATATGCTGCCAAGATGTTTATTTCCACACTAGACCAGTATTAGGGGGAAATTACAAAACTGAGAATATTCACTTTTCTTAAGATAAAGGTGTTTGTGAATGTTAAAGTTGAAATCTGTTTTGACTTAGAATGTCAAAACACTATGAAGAGAAAAGACCCCTCCCCTCCCCCACCCCACACATAAGCATCTACAGTCATAAAAATCATAAGGCCCAACATAATAGCTATTATTTATCTGGTATCTCTTAAAGTACAAATTCATTTCAGTCCTCATTGAAAATAAGTCACTATATTCTTATGGAATTAGAAATGGTTTCTGACCATACATATTGCTTTGTTCTTTGAACAGAAAAGCCACTAGACTGTTAAGGTGGGGTAGAAAGAGAGTCATCACTCAATGACTGAGATGTGCACACTAACTTTGACAGCTATGTAGGTGAATACTCTTTTAATGTAATAGCAAAACCAAGTATGTATGTGTCTCATTCACATAACTGCCAAGGTTAGTAATAATTAAGTCACCCTTATATTTTTTGTATTGGAGTAGGGGGAAGTACAAAAATTTTAAAAGAATTGCTTCATCCACCATAGACCGCATGAAAACTCAGTATCACATATAGAACATTTAGTACACAGAGAAACTAGATACTATGCTAGAAACTAGATACTATGAATTTGTGTGATTTGGACAGATTATTTAATTTATTTATTTCTTAGTTTCCTCATAATGTAAAGATTAGATATTTTGAGCCATATGAATTTAGCTCAATTATAGGCAAAACATATCAATGACATTTTAATATGGTCTGTCTTTACCTCGTGAATTATAACAACTATGAAATGTGAGTTTGAACAATGTGGACACACAGAAACCATTCAGCAAGTGCTCACTGTTAGTATTTTAGAAATAGACCCCTCATGTCAGAGTGAAAACTGTGATTTCATTTCCTTCCCACACTGCTCCAAGTCTTCCTTCAGGTCTTAGCTGTCTAATACAGTGAGATGACAGTAACTCACAATATTACATGACACTTCTTTTCCTGTTATTAATCAGTTGTTGTTTTTATTTCTTCTGCATTAAACCCTTCCTTCAAACGTAGACTTTTGTCTCCTCCCCACACTTCCTTGAACCTGTACTGGTTCTCAGTGAGACAGTATGCTCGGAAGCATGATGACTATGGAGGGAGTGGCCAGCCTCATTCTGCCTAGATCTGAGACTCCACTGTACAGGAGGGAATTCTTTTTTGGTACAGTAAATCTGGCCAAATGTCCATGACACTAACAATCGTTTTTGTTTTGCTGAATGGACTTGTGCCCTTTCCCACTGCCTTCTTAATATTTACCTCCATCCTCGTAGGCAAGCATCATGCTGCACTGTGTCCAGAGAAGCTTGTATTTGCAGGGGGTGGTGGTTACTGCAGAGACTCATAACTGATGAAAGTGCTGAGAATGAGTAAATGCTCAGTGCTGGCTCAGCCTTGAAAGAGGCATCTTTATCACTCCCTTTAAATCTTTCCCAGAACTTGCAACCTACCTATCCCTTCATTTGTAAGTTACGCCATTAAATAAATCTCTCTTTTAACTATGTGGAGTGGCCTTAATAATTTCACCGATATAGTTTCATTTTGTTCTTTGGTGCTCAGGATTGAGCCCAGGCATCATTCATGCTAATCATTTGTCCTACTCTGATGAAGCCCAGCTGAACAGCTTCTTTAAATAACTAAAATTGAGATGGGTAGAATGTTTATATGAAAAAAATCGTTTTGCCTTAAATAAACCACACAGATTCTGGTGTTGGGTGTTTTGTCTCCAGATGCGGACACACATGGTGTGCAGCATCAACTCTTGCTTCACCTTCAGGTGGAATCCATTCTCCCCTCCATCTTCGCTTTTATGCTTCCTCTTTCTTGATTCTGGTTCCATATTGCCCCATTTCATTTTGTAAAAGATTACACAGGTATCTCACATTTCAGAACAGTGTGCATGTGGTATCTTGACATCAATCTCAACTATCATTCTTCAGGAGCCCTTCACTCTACAGTCCTTTTTGAGCCAAGATCACTCATTGACCTGGACTTCAGGTTAGGCTGACTGGTCAGAACTCCCCAAACATCTGTCTGTCCCTCCATGGCTGAGATTACAAGTCTAAGCTACTGTGGCAGGCATTTCACATGGGTACTGGGCACTGAGCTTAGATCCTCATGTCTGCTGGCCAATAGATCACTAACTGAGCTATCTGAACAATCCCTAACCACTACCAATTTAGTGTTCATCAGCCAGGAAGCATTTCATTTCATCTTCCCTTTATATCTGTTTTCTGCCTGACCTCTAAGGAATTATACTCTTTCTTCCTGTTTCTTCATAAAAACCTACCTCTTTTCCTTTCTGTTTCTCCTTGCCGGTGACTATGCACAATTCTGTAGTATGCAATCCTGATCCTCTGGACACTCAACCCCTACAAGGCAGCGTGTTTGTTTAGTTTTATCTGTAACCTCCCAGCAATCACTAAATCTATCTGAACTCTGACCTTTGAATATAGACTGATGTTCACATCAAGCCAGTTACAAAACTTCTGTGTCTGTCTTTCACTTCTTTGGGTATGTATTTGCATCAACAAGCCAGTTGGACATCTTATGGTATGTCACATTTATTCCTCTCCCTCTAATTTCGTCCCTCTATCTAAAATACTAATGCAACCAGAAATCCATCAGTTTTTCTAAAGCTTCACCATTTTAGTCCTTTTGCTATATAATGGGCCTGTAAACAAAGGCATTTTTATAAGTGTAATTTTAAACTCTTTTCTGTAAAGGTTCTCTCCCACAATGCTTATTCTTTTGCAGATTTCATGTCTTTGCTTCCTAACCACATCCATTTTAGGATCATAGTGTTCAAGGTTACATCATTTATTCTCCAATTTTTCCTATTGGCTACTTAAGATGGAATGCTGATTCAATGTCTTAACAATATAAAATGGATTGAATAATATCGTATTTGTTTATGAAAATTAAATTAATTTTTATATGTGAAGATCTTAATAATACCATTAGTCATTTGATGGCATTGATCTTAAAATGTGTGTTCCTTATATCTTACTGAAGACAATATACAAACTTTTTTTTACGTCACCAACTAGTTATTCTTCTTCATAGTGTTTAAAACTTCTCAAATCTAAGCACACATTGTTTTATACCTACCTCTCTTATTATTCTAATAATCCTAAGTTCTTTACCTTTTAATATTATATAATAAATTTTGATCATTTTCATCTCCCCCAGTTCCACCTCCTCCCAGATCCTACCATCCTATCCACCACCCTATCCACCCAACTTCATTCTCTCTCTCTCTCTCTCAAGTGAAAATTAAAACAAAGAAACAAAATAAAATCTGTAAGACAAAACAAAATAACATAAATCAAATCAAGCCAAATAAAAAGTGCACAATGAAACATGGAGCCCATTTTGTGTGGCCAACACCTTCTTGGCATGGGACCTATCCTGGTGTGTAGTTTAAATACTCAGTAAACTCCATTGGAGAAAAGTGATTTTTATTTTCTTCCCCAGCAGATATCAATTGTAAATAGCTTTTTAGTTAGGGAAGGGACTTTGTGTCCACTCCTCTTTCTCTGGGCTGTAGTTTGTGTTTAGTTTCATCTTTTGTAAGTCTTTGCATGCTGCCCCATTCTCTGTGAGTTTCTCTGCACATATGCCCTGCTGTGTCTGAAGACACTGTTTCCTTGGAGTCATATCCGACCTTTTTTTACAACCTTTCTACCTCGTCTTCCACATAGACCTCCAGCCTTTCCCTCTCCATTGCGTTTACCTTAGTCCCACAGCTTCTTCCTTACTGTTAGTTAGTCCCTTTGAAATTTTCAACACAATCCTTTATAAGCTTTTCAAATTATACAATTCTTCAAAATAAAACAAAATTTCACTGTGTCTTCCTGAATTTTTATGAATAATCTATATTTTCTTCCTATACAACATTTATTTTTCATAGTATACAAAACTTTATCCTATGTTCTCACAGGTCTGTCCATTTTTTTCTACAAGATATACATTTTCTTAGATATTTCTTACACTTACCGAGAAAAATTTTATTTTGTTCCCAATTATTCATTCTACAGATTATATAAAATTCTCTTTTTATGAGTTCTCATTATGACCTCAGGGAAAATTATTAAATATTTTATACAAAATGGTGTTAGTACTCACACACCACTCAAGAACATTTATGTGAACTAATTTTGTTACATAAAGAAAAGATTAATTAATCAGTATGCAGCCATGGTTCTTGTTAATCTATAATGCCACATCCTGGAAGATTGTGACCAGTCCATGCGTTAACACAGACAGTGCTCCGCAATGATCCAGGTGGAAATCACAAGTGACAAGACAGGAAAGGGCTGGAGCGGTGGCAGGTCCATCTCCTCCTCAGCCCACACCCTTCTCTGTCATTCTACATCAATAATACTACCAAGGAAAATCAGCTAGTCCATTGAAGGGGTTATTTTTCAATTTAAAAAAGGTATATATAATATGTAAATAGCACGTATATTTTCATACTTGTATTGCATAATATAACATATATTTTCATTAAATGCAAACAGTTGGAGAAATGTAATGTAAGAGATGATTATATAATTGTCGAGCAACATAGTGTGTGTGCATGTGTGTATAGGAATTCTCGCCTTCAATACTCTACATAGTGAGAGGGCAGTAAAATAGTTTAGTGAGAGTATCTTTCAATTTAAAGACTTAGCATTTGTAACAAAAGAAAATAAAACCACAAAGTGGTAACTTCTATTCATGAAAAACTATATTTGAAGTTAATTTTTATGTTAATTCCATTAAGCTAACCTTCCTGCGAATGCAAATAACATTTGCTCATATCTCTTTGCTGCCGTACAGTTACTATCTGTCTAGGTTGCTAGAATCAAAACCAATCTGGGAGCTGAGGCCAGTGCTCCTGACTATGGCACTTGGCCACAGTTAATTGACAACTTCTCAACTGAACATGTGTGCCTCCGGGCAGGGCAGGAACCCTCAAGTTCACAACAGTTCTTTCCTCACCCTTCACATTGTTCTGGAAAGCTTTATTTCATTTGTGACCTCTTTTTCCAAACTGCTGATACCATTTTAATTTTCCAGCTATCCTTTAGGAGAGTAGATAAGGCTTCCCACAATGTATCACTTCATTAAAATTTCTTTGAATGTGAAGTTGATTAAAATGAACTAGGGTGAGAGATGATTATGAGCATATCCATCTTCTTAAATCATTTCAATTTGATTTAAAGTTTCAATTTATTAATGTATGCCAAGATGTGTCCTATATAACATTTTCCCTGAAATTTAGACAGAACAAAATCCCAAGGTAAGTAAACACTGAATACATAATAGTAATGACTATTCACCTACTTAGAACAGGGGTTTTCCAGAGGTCCTCATTCAATAATAAACACTTTTTAACATGTATGCCTGCATAGATACATGCATTTTTTCTCATTGTTAATGAAAATACAACTTCTTTTATAAACATATCCTTATAAAATACACTATTTCTATTCAAAAGCATGCCAGTGTACTCTCCAAACATTAAGACAATTATTTCAACTAAACTGCATGACTATAACCTGAAGTTTTATCAAAATTTGATGTATTTAAGAATAGTAACATATTCATGTCCAATTCACATCATACTCATAAGGGTATCTGTGGGTTTCTTCTGCATTATACTGTGATGTTTCATACAGGCTTACTTCATCATGTGGGGCTGCAGTGATTCACAATCACCTTCCTATTCAAAGCACAAAATTACCAGGTAGCATAAAACAAGCATCCAGAACAACAATGACAAGAGGCATGAGAGAATAAGTAAATGCACAACAGGTTTTCTTGGTTGCTTGTACCTTTTTGATTGTCTTCTCAATAAGCATGTCTCCAACGGGCATGAGAATACCCCCAAACACAGCCAAGACTGCACCAATGACAGCTCCAGCGATGAGCCCACAGTTCCGATCACAGCCCATTTTCCTCGTGCAGGAGAAGAATCACGGTGGAGCACTTGTTTCTCACCAATTCCCAGGTGTGGTTACAGTGTTTCCTACGTGGCCTGATTCCACCATTAGAAAGAGGTCATAAACCAGAAGCTTAAATATCAGTACAAAAAGATCAAAGTACAAAGAGAACATGTCACTGAATCAGATAATTTTGCCAGCTAACAATAAACAAATATTTTTTGTTTGGCTCACCAAGCTGGTTTTCTACATCCTTCTCCCTCCTCTTGCTCCTAAAAACCCACCAGAAGCAGAAAATATCAAAGAGACTGCTTTTTCCCCCTTTTTAATTCTTCTGTTTTGAATTTTCCTCCTTGGGTGATTAACATACTGTAATCTTATCTAAGCAGAACCATATATACACATTCTCATTCTCATACTCCCTACCATACATGGGATACTCCTTTATACTCTCGCTCCCTCCCTACCTCTCCACCCAATCAGAACCATAAGCACTCTGCCAGGATTCTCCTGCAAACCAAATCTGGCTGGGCTGGCATACCCTGTCCACTAAGCCACCATGGCAATGATAACATACCTTACTCACGAACCAACAGCAATGAGTTTTGCAAGAAATAGTCTGGTGAGGCTCAGAAAGAATCAATACTTCAAATCATTTGTAGGCTACCTGTCAAAACAAGAAAGCAGAGGAACAACCCCTTATCAAATAATTAATACTAGTATATTTTGTTAATGTAATTGTAAATATTAGAAAATTCCATTTCTTTTCTGGTGTTTCTGTTTATGAAAGCATTCAAAAGACTTTTAAAAAGTGTGTATGGTCTATAATTTTATCACTAATGTTTTTTGATAGAATATAGGTTAAGGAACTTGATGAATACACGTGTTTTGTAAGTGTATAGATTTAATATTAGAATTTCATGTTGTTATTCTTAAAGATTCTTTTACATAACCAACTGTAGTACCATTCATTTTTTTCCTATGTAGGGATTCTTGTCAATTATTTTAAATAAGAGAGTATTGCTAATATGTACATCATGTAGTCAGCTTAATTTGCAACACCATATTTTATGTGGTTATTATGTAACATTGGAAGAAAACAATAGATAGAACCACTGGATCCTCCTGCAATAAAATTAATTCAGTCGTGTCACTTCTTATCAATATTTGAAGAGGAGGCTGGGATTCAACGACAGCGTGATGCTGATTTTTCACCTTCCTTAGTGGGCTGTCTCCTGTGGTTTGTACCTCATAACAATTTTGTTTCACACTAAAATGTCCATGGCCAAGAGGACCACAGACATCAGCAGAACTGAGAAAGGATGAGGCCCACAGAGAGCATTCTGACACACTTTGTATACAGACATATTTCAAAAGATGAAGGAGCACTAATGGTACAGATTCTTCATGATAGCTTCGCTCCTTCTGTAACCCTGCGCATCCCTTTACATTCAAGCTCACTACTTCAGGAAACTGTAAAGTCTGAGACTTTTCTTGACACACAATCTTTCTTCAAGTCCCCGAAGAACTTGTAAGAAGACTACACCATGCTGGAGTGCCTGCTGTAAACCAAGAATCCTATCTAGGAGGCAGCAATCACTGCAGAGGGACCCAGCTGGCACAGTGAAGATAAGACAACGCTGCAGATGAAATAACACCCGACCTTTCACCCTCCTTCCAGGTAACAACGAAGCAAAGATTCATTCTCTCTGTATCTTGACTTCTCTACTATTTCAAGTAAGATGTGAAGTGAAAGCAGCGTTTTCCTATGTGAGTAGCAGAAGTGTTCCTTCAGCCACTGCTGGTTCTTCTCCAGCTGTTGCCTGGGAGACTGAAAGGTACAGTGACTCTGATCACATGGCAGTGTGATAATCCAGAGACCTTGGCTCCAGACAGACTCTCTATCTGTCTAACACGTCTTAGAAATGTTTAAGAGAATTTCTTTAAGAAAGTGTACCTCTAGCAGTGTGACCCATGATCATAACTCTGGGACAGGAAATCCTGTGTGCTATAGAAGTTTGGCAAGTATAAATTAAATCTAAGTAAAAACACATAGTGAGTTACTGCTTTTGGAAAGTTATTTAATGCCTCATATGAACATCATTAAATTATTCATTAGGAGCAGGGAGATGGCTCAGTGTGTAAGTGCACTAGCTGCCAAGTCTTACAAGCTAATCCTTGGTACCTGCAAGGCAGAAACAGAGAACTGAACCCTGCAATTTTACACACACACACACACACACACACACACACACACACACACACACACACACACTTTAGTAAATAAATGCTAGAAATTATTCAGTAAAATCATTTCCAATTCTGACAAATAGAGTATAAAATGACCTTAAAATTCAATGTTATTGCTTCTGAACTTGGTGTACACATATTCACCCCTTGTTCAATTCTATGTTAAATACAGTTGTGAATATACATTTTCAGAATCATTCTTCCTTATTGAAGTATCCTAATGCACAACAGGAAAGCATTTCTATACAAGATAGAAAGGATATAGCATCTCTTGTAGCATCCAAGAAACAGAGCCTGCTCTGCAATGCCTAGAAATCAACCTTAGGGCCTCTGCATCAGGAGACTGGGTAATAGACAGATGTGGGTATGGTGTGAGTTCTGTCTGCTTCAAACTGAAGTGAGAAAGTACACATAACCCACTGGCATTGAGTCAGATTTCTTAGAAAACAGAAGTATAAAGAAATGTATTTTGTTGGATCATAGTTAAATATTAAGGTATTTATCTAACATGCTTTCAACCATGTGCTGATATTTGACAGAGTGGAAGAGGTTAGCTTGTTCACAGGTTCACATTTTTAGTGATTGATTCATTATCATTGCATTGTGTCATAATAACGGTTCTGAATTTGCCCTAAAAATGGGAAAAATACATGTTCCTTGGGTTCACTAATTATCACTTAGTGCCTTGACATTATGAGTAATGAATTCATAGTATAATCATATATTTTTCTCATGGTACATGAAATAAAACAGAATCTGTTTCATTGATCTGAGGACATAAATGCTCAGGTTAGCACATTCTAGTCATCAGCTTGGCCATCCATATTTATCTTCAGAGGAAAGCATAGACTTTTTTTAAACAACTTTCTGTGAATTTAGCTATTAAAGAATACAAAGTTTGGGTCTCATGAAATCACATTTTCTCAATAGCACAGCTGCTTATAGTTTACCATAGGTCATTTCATTTCTTATCTTAAATTAATTTTACTAAAATTCATTCTTTAGTGAAGACATTATTTGCAATAAGTTGTTTATGGATTAAAATACTGAAATTTAGAAGTCAAAGAATAACCAGGAGCAGAGAACTCTTTGGACTAATCTAAAAGAGGAGAGGCATGCAAGCTTTAAAATGGTATGAGTTACATACCTGTCTTGATTCCAGGGTAGATCAGCTGCTATGTCCTATCTGGTGAATAAAATACATACATACATCCCTTTTCCCGGACATATGAGTGGATTCTATAGCTTTCAATGTTTTTAAAAGAAACACGGGAAGCGGTCTTCCTTTTCTCTTCCAGTTGTCAGACTGACAGAATGCTTCTCTCATGGACTTTGAAACACAAGGCCCTTCCACTACATGGGGGGAAATTAGTAGAAGCTGAGAGACTGGGCAGAGCCTGAGGAAGGATGAACTATAAGCATCCTCCCTGGCAAATAGGCCAAACAGTAGAGCAAATTCTCCTGAGAATCTCTAATTATTCCCATGTGTGCTTCAAGCTGTGTTCCCTCGGAAACTCCACCCAGAAAAGGCCTGGCCCACAGGTAACACTTTCTCAGATGTGAACAGCGAAATGTGAAAATGTTTCAGAATCAGACCAGGACAGAGGGTTTTATTGTTTTCATCATCTACTGACAGTTTAAAACTCCTAGTCTACATGTAAAGCTCCTTCCGTTTATTTAATGTAGGAAACAAGGCCACACAACTCTGCAAAAACCATCAGTCTTTTCATGGAGAATTTTTCTACCCAAGAAAACAGCAGCACCTACCCATGATAACCTGATATGAAAATACCATGAGTGGTGACTGAATGAATAGCAGGTTGAGTATGAGTATAGTGTTTTTCAAAATTTCTTATGCCCTTTTCACACATTTACCCTCCACCATGTCTAATAGCATTTACAAAGTCATGATTCTATAAACACAGCACATACATTCAATCCAGACTAATACAGAGGGGTTCAGATGTCTGATAACACTTGATCATGCTGCAACAAAAGACCTAAGGCCAATCTTTAACTCTCAGGTTAATTGCACGTGTATTTTGGCATTAAACAAAAGCTCAGAGAAGAACTAACTGGTAGAAGAAAGGAAGAACTATGGCCTTGCTTTCAGCTTTGCCTCACAGTGGCTCTAAACCACCACTGGAGCACTCAAGGCTTCTGCAGAAAACTTAGGAATATCTTGATAAGGCGATCTCCAAAATCTTGTCCCATTTAAGTCACCAGAATCTTTTGTCTTTCTCATATGTCCATATATATGCAGACAAACATCTCAGCAAATATGTAAACAAACAAACCAGCATTTGTAATGTTGATGAATCATTTCACTTAATTAAACTTATCAAATCACAATAAAAAACTGGTCTTGGTGATAATCTTAAGTAAATAATAGAGAGATTGTGTTACACATGATACCCCAAAACCTGCAAAAGTAAGTCTGTCTTTTAGAGGCATAACCAGGGAGTACTACAGGCTTCAAGTGATTCCTTCAGACATATTGTCTTAAACTTAACAACAGGAAGAGTTCTTCAATGAGCAACAAAATCCAAGAACGTCTAGTGCTTTCCTAAGCCTGGGAATCAATTTTTATGACTTCTGTAAATTGAGTCCCTATCCATTGTTAGCAATGGATGGACCTAGCAATGACCTGGACTCTGTCTGTCTCCTTTAACCTTAGAAATGAAGTGAGACTGTGAAAGAAGCCACTGGTAAAATATAGATATATTTTTGTTTCTTTGTTTTTGAGACAGGGTTTCTTTGTGTAGCTTTGCACCATTCCTGGAACTCACTTGATAGCCCAGGCTGGCCTTAAATTCACAGAGATCCACCTGCCTCTGCCTCTCAAGTGCTGGGATTAAAGGCGTGCTCCACCACCACCCAGCAGTAAAAATATTTTTAATCATTTAACCCTAGGTAGGAATGTTATTAGTGTTCCTTTCTCTACCCCAAATTCAACTATAGTTAGAATATTTCTTCAAGGTCTTCAGACTTTAAAATCTGAAATTAGGATATAGGTATCTAGTTCTAGGTTTTCATACATTAGTTTGTGGTTCTGTTTTCTCTGAGTTTGTAAGAGATTAATTTAAGCAAGATTGCAAGTGTTCAGTAAAATCAAACATGATTTTAATAATAATAATAATCTCACTATAAAAAGTTGTTTTACACATAGTAAGTTTGGAGTATTACGCAATATTACTTTAAGCAACTATAATGTAGCAATAACTATTATTTCATGTTGCCTAATGACATGATTTAGGAAATTCCACTAAATATGATTATATAAAAATGGCATCAATATTTTCAAATTTCAATAAAATGCGTATGTGGGCTAGTTATGTCCTTAGACCATGCAACTTGAAGGTTTTAATAAGTTAATTATAACACCTTGGATCAAATCACAAAATAGTAACATAACTGGTTTCTTTAGGAAATCGAGAGCAAAACAGGCAAAAAATACAAATTTATTCAAATTGATTAAAAATAACCACAACTTTCATTAACGATAAGAGCAGAAACTAATTACTTTCAAAATAAATTCCAAAGTTTTTAGTACACTCTGTACAAATACCCATCCCATTGTTAACTTTAATATTTTTCTCAGGCCACCCTGTTATCTGATAATCTGAATTTGGTTTATTGTTCTGGTTTAATAATGATGTTGGTAGAAAGGATTTTTACATTATTGTTCATTTATAGACTCTAAAAGGCCCCTGGAAAACCAACTAGTAAAAATATTTTGGAGATTTTATTCTCACTTATTCAAAAAACAGTATTTATAGCAATGCTTTCTTACATTTTTAAAAGACATTACCAACTTAAAGCCATTTAAGAAAGGACTGAGAAGTCTTGGAATCCTCACATTTTCAAACATAATTCAAATTTATTATAAATGATTTATTTTATTAATAGTTATTTATAAAGTTTCTTTAATTAGATAGTTAATTTATCTAGAATGAGTTATCTATTCTTTAAACTCAGAATCACAATTTAGGGAAATAACTTACTAATATTTGAAACAAATTTTTGAATTTTCAAAGTCATTAATTTTCCTTTTTATTTTTACATTTAATACTAAGTTGTATACTAATATACACTAATTAAATTTTAGGTCATTGTTTGAAGTAACTCAGTCCTTGTAGCAAATAAAATATCTTTGTTCATTAAAGAAAAGTGCTGAGTAAATGTATATTTAATAAATGTATTGCTCCTAACCATACAGAGAAAAATCAAGTTCATCAAAAATTGTACACTGAAAATTCAACAACAAGCTAATAACACTGAAAAGTAACAAATAGTTAACAAACTGCATCCAAGACACACTGTTGGTATAAGATTTACAAGTCATTTATAAAAACCAATCTCACTGTATCAATGCTCATTAAAAATGTTCCTCATCGTAATTTAAATATCATTTAAATAGACAAGTTTAAATAAAACTCAAATTTGATTTTAAATTTAAATATTGACAAATGAATGTTGACAAATACATATGATATCAAGAATCATAAATAAAATGTCATTGGCCACTGGAAACAATTTTAATACTATTAAGCAGAAATGTAGGAAGACTGATAAACAACACATCATGAAATAAAGCCTAGGAACTTTAAGGCAGCACTGATTTTACTTAGTTGTTTTTACTTTTTTGGTATAAAAGTTGATTTTTAAATACTATCATCTCCTATTATTTGAAAGATAGAAAAACTTTTCATTTTTTTTTAATTTAAAGAAAAAACATCCAACTTACCTTTGGAAGAGTAAGGAACCATCCACCAACTGCTCCAATCATTTCAGAAAGCAGCTGGTAAGAAGAGAAGGTCCTCAGCACGAACCCCCCAGCCTGACCTCCTCATTACTTATGTGTGTGAGAGTTGAAATAAGCTTTAAAAAAACCTCAATGTCAGAGCTCAGTTTGTGGTTTGTTGCCAGCGGAATTGAGAAAAAAAAAAAGAGAAAAAAAGCAACGCATTACACTGATAGTTAAGCTCACAAGGGTCTATTTCTGGTGAAGACCCATCACCTACATCTTTTTTTTTTCTTGGCCATGTTCCCATCCAAGTAAGTCAGAGGCCACTGAGCGAGCTGAACTGATTAAGCGGGCCGCTCCTTCTACACTTTGTTTTCCAATGCAATCGGTATTCCAGATGCTGGACTGGAAGAGGGCAGAGAGTAAATGAGGGAACTCACTGGTCTGTCACAACTAAGTTGCAAATCTCAGCTCATAAAATGCAAAGAAGAGTCTTTTTCTATACTACAGAGGAGGAACCTGAAAGCACATTTGTACTGATAATTTGGAAAACAATTGGAAACTCTGTCAATCAACAGGGATGACAAACAGACTTTACAGAAAGGAAATGGCCCATTGTTCTACCTGGAAGTTAACTATTTATCATTTTTGTTGTTGTTGTTAATGTTGCTGACATTTATGAGGATGGTGCAATGATTCTCAAAAACCAAAAATGAAAAAAACAAAACCTAAAGATCTTCATCCAAAATAGAACTAGCAAAAACCACACAAATCTAATTACTACTGAGCATGGTGTCTCAGTGCAAAAAGTATATGCACCTCAGTCACCCTCAGTGGAACTAATCATACGTGTGCCTAAGCAAACAGAAAACCTTGCAAATCATACATGTGCCTAAGCAAACAGAAGACCTTGCAAATCATACATGTGCCTAACCAAACAGAAGACCTTGCAAATCATACATGTGCCTAACCAAACAGAAGACCTTACAAATCATATGTGTGCCTAAGCAAACAGAAGACCTTGCAAATCATATGTGTGCCTAAGCAAACAGAAGACCTTGCACTTGGGACAAGCCAGACTCTCAAAATAAAGACTCCTCTCACAAGACCCAAGGGTCAGACAGGCAACACCTCCAGAGCGTTACTCTGGCCTCAAGCTGGCAAGCTTGCTAGAAAACCCATCTGCAAGTCTCTTTTAAAATTAAGCTACCTAAGAGGCATGGGCAGGGATATATTTAGCAGACAGACTCAGGTTTAAGCCAGTCTTTGGCCTTATATTGTGCCTGCTGTCTCTTGTGGGCCTGTCTCACATACTGGGGTGAAATATCACTGGAGAAAGCCCTCAACCTCCTTGTTCATATTAAGCTTTGCCAAGTTTTCCAAGGAGACTGTGCTCGGTACATTCATTTAACTATTAACAAAAGGCCATTTCTATTAATTGGATTTTCACTTTGATTTCAAACCACTTACTTGGGAAGAAAGTTGAAACTATCTTGTGTAACCTCAATATAAATAAATTATCCTTTTCATTTCGAAAGAATTACATAGAGATTCCAGGAAAGGAAGCTGTATACAATCCTCTTACAACTGTGACCATTCTATTGTCATTGCTTGCTATGACAAGGAGGATAAAGACTATCTTAATAAATATTTTGATTGAGATTGTATACTTTTAAAATATCTATTATGGACTTCATTCTTTGTTGATATAAATTTATTTTTATCAAATTTAATTCTCATGTCTATAAATACCAACATGATAATCTAGAAATAGCTTTTCAACACAAAGGCAGATAAGGCCAGTCTTAAAGACAATATTGAACACTAATAGAATATGAACATTAACAGAAAAGTTATTTCCTGACAATAGATGCCTAAATGAACACTGCATTCACTTGGATTGCTTTTTAATCAGCAGTTCAATATCCTCTTCTGGTTGTCTCTGGAGAGCAAAATGTTACACATTCCGTTGAACCGGCTAAAGAATCAAATTTACACTCTGAGAGGCGTCTGGTGAGTGTTCAGCCCCATAGCCAACAGTGATCAAGGAACTTGCTATTCAATAGTCAAAAAGCACACAGTGGAATCAAATCCACAACATGAATGTCAAGAAAATACAACCTGAGCAATAAGTCATTTAAAAGTATGTATGTCCATTTAAAAGTCAAGACTCAGGTTATATATGAATGTGTGTATTTATGGAGAGAAAGGGTATGTGTGTATACGTGTGTGTGTTGTGTGTGTGTGTGTGTGTGTGTGTGTGTGTGTGTGTTCGCGTGTGTGCGCGCGTGTGCATGCGCTCATATATGGCCATGAACATATCCATGCGGGTGTATGTGTCCATATATATGAATGTCTATGGAGAATAGAGGACAACCCTGGGTATTAGCCATCTTTAGATGCTGTCCACTTCCTATTTTGTTTGTTTCTTTGAGAAGGTCTTTCACTGACATTGGGGACTCAGTGTCTAGGCTAGAAGGACTGGCCATAAAGCCTCAGGTATCTCCGCTTTGCCACCTCCCCAGCACTGGGAGTAGAAACATCAAGCCTGGACTTTTTACATGGATTCTGGGAAGAGGACTCAGATCCTCAAACACTTTCCTAGCTGAGCTATCTCACCAGGCCCAGGTTTTTATTCTTTAAGGTAATTTAACAGTATTTGTAGCTGATGTGCTCTAGATGAACTATACTGAGCCTTATAGATATCCACTACAACAATAAATAAACAGATATGAATGGCAGAACAGAAGCATCAGTGGATATAAGTCATTTCAGGTTCAATTCTTTGAGAAGTCTTATTGCTAAGAGAACCCAGTCAGACATGTTTGCATCTTGTTCTTGCTAGAGAAGAATTAACCTGAGTGTGCATTGAGTATTAAGTAACAATCACTATGGTCTGTTTTTGTTTGTTTTGTTCTGCAGTTTTGTCAAGTTGTACATGAAAATCCAAATCTATATACAGTAGGGAAGCAGAAAACTTTTGACATTTAAGATTTTAAAAAATGTTTAACTAAAAAGGTTACTTGTTAAAAAATATTTCTTTAAACTACAGAATTTAGTATTTTTTTATTCATTAACTTCCTGTCATTTGCTTTTAAAGGTTAAGTCATGGTTACAATGCTTCTCTTTGCTTTAAGATTATGGAAATAATATGCTTTACCCAACACTCGATGACTTTTTAAAAATCCTTCATGGCAGTGCTTTAGACAGCTGATTCATGCACTTCAAAATTTGTGAAAAGAGGAAGTGCAACAAGTTGAGTAACACAAATATTGGGACATATTTGAGAGCCAGATGACAGATGAATTACAATAATTCTCGAAGAGGGGTCACATGACTCATGTCTAAGTCCCACTTTATTCACAATAGGATCTGAAACCAAGCAAGACTTGTGTCGCTGATGTCTTTTTTCAGTGGAAGAGGAAGCCCATACACCTACACTCTCAAGCTGAATGAAAATCATACGGTGGATATAATATTTATAATGTATGGTTATATAAAAATCCAGGTTCTTGGTGAGTCACAATAGTTGACAACTGTTTGTGGAATTTGAGTTGTTTTCTCTGACACTTCAACAAATGAAAAGCAGCATTTCTGTATAACTTGGATTATAATTTTAGATTGTATAGGTAATAAAAATTCTTAATATTAAGATAGTCATAAACTGACAGTATTGACACATTGGGCATTTACTGTCTGCTAGACACTGATCTACTTCATTTGGATCCCTTCAGGGGCCCACCAAGCCACCTCACTAGACTCTTCAGAAAACTCTGTTTCCAGAGTGATGTTTGTCAAAGCAAAGCTTAAATCCTTTTTTTCTGGGGAAGAAATGATGAATAGGCCAGCTAGATGGCTTATGGGCAAAAGCACTTACAACGCAAACCCAAGAGAGTGAGTTTAATCCCTGGAAACTATGGTAGAAGTTGGAAGCAGACAGTCAAACGCTGCCCTCTGACCTCCACATACGAGCCATGGCACACATGCCCCACCCCGGTCATACACAATGATAACACATTAAATCAAATAAATGATAATATGTTCTTAATAGCTATCTTTATATATTCTACTAAATTACATGTTTAGAAATTGAATAAGATCAAAATGATCTGATATTATATTAGGAGGAAAATTATGTATGCATATTACAAACAATGAACAGGTAGTAACTAATAATCAAGTAGGATAAAATTGCATTCTAATGTTCTATAAATTATAACAAAATATTGATTAACAAAGTAATTCTAAGGAAACCATTTATTACTTAATATTCAAATAACAATAAAGAATATTCACACAGACCTATTTTACACATGTGTAATATATGCATACATATGTAGAATATGAACATACACCTATGTTTTTCAACTTGTTTGTTTACTTAATAGGAATATTGAACATATGTTTCATTGGTATTGAACACTTGTTTCATTAGTAAACAGAACATTAATATGTTGTAGTGCAATTCTAATAAAATGTTGAAAACATAAATGAGATTGCTAATATTACTTTCAAAAGAAAATTCCAAGGGTCCCCTCAAATACAAAATGCAGACTATAAAGGCAAGTTGTAGATTTATATCATATGACCCAAATGAATCAAAAGAGAGTGTGACATAGCATCCCACATTAAAAACACAAAATAACCTTACTTACATGCTTAATAGAAGCCTTGGTAGGAGCTGTGCCTAAATGAGAAAGAATGAACAGATAACACCTCTGTATTTGGAGAAACATCTCATGTGGGCACGGCTAGGTCAATATGCAAATCTCATGAAGCAGTGAAAAGTATTGGCAGACTCGACTCTTACGTGAACAGTTTGCTAATATGACTTAACTCTCTGAGGAGAGGAAAAGGAAAGTCAATGTCTAAGCTATGGCTTAAAAAGAAAACAACTAAGGAAATGTTAATTTCAACATAATTTGTCAGGATGCCATATTTGTTCATATGCTACATGGGAGACCATAAGGAGAAAATTTTAAAAATTCTGGTAAAACAATTATTTCACAGCAGAATATGTTGAAATAGAAGAACACAGCCCCAATCAACAGTTAAACCAAGTGTTGAGTATATAATGAATGGAAAACAAGGAACACTGAAGATTTACATGGCAGAAAGTCAAAACATTTATTGTGATTGAAGACAAACAAATGTTCATGTTGAGGTATTTTGTGGCAGACCTAGGCTACAGCAGAGTTCCTGAAGTGGGGTGTTAAAAAGGAAGTTAATAAAACATACATTTGAAAAAAAAATTTGTGGTTTCCTCTGCACTGGCCCTTGTGTTATACAAAATAATATGCTTTGTGATTCTAAAATAACATCACAATTTTTATGTTGTTTAAACAGTA